AACTCCGAAAATGGTTAAAATCAAGTAGATCTATAAACATATGAAAATCTTGAAATTAAATCTTGAAATTGGACAATCTAGATAATGTGTTGGAAGATGCACTATTTCTTGGACTCTTAAACTATTTTTTTTTCATATTCATTCATCTCATTGTCGAGATGATCAATTAGAGGGTTTTTCAACATTAAAAAAACCTTTTCCGATGGATTTTTTAGGTGCATCTGTAATTCTACATTTTAAGGTTGCAACCTTATATAAACTTTTTCCTTCTTATAATGCTCAGAATATGATGAATCACAAAACAAACTGGTCATATGCGTGTTATTGGTTACATAATAGAAGTGCATCAGTAAATATTTGTTTTTCACAATGAAAATACCTATTAATTCATGGAAGCACATGTATGCAAACTAATGCATGAAGTGGATAAACAAATTATTAATAGAAAGGAATTTAAAAAAAAATGTCTTTCTTGGCTTCCCAAAAAAATCAGACCAATCAAAGTTCAACAACTTATTGTACTTACCCCCCTAATTTTCGTTCCACAATTCTTTTGATGGATTTATTGTACCCTTTTCTCATTAAACTAAAATAGCAATGAAGGGGTATGGTACGGCATGTTTGATGGTTTGGAAAGAGAGGCACAACAGGCAGTGGCCATTTGGTGTGACAATGGAGGGAGCCCAAGAATACAAATTCGTAAGGTAGCTATTGCTAGATTAGGGTGTAGAGAGAGAACCCTCAGTTCCTAAAGAGGTGACCCTTTTTGCCTCCCAAATGACACTCTCCCAACACAAGCCACTCAATGAATGATCATCTTGACGTAGGCTGGCTCAACTGCAAGCCTAACTTAATGTTACAATCTTAGAATCCTCAAATTAACAACACCCGAGAATGATCCTTAACTTTGACTTCTTTCACTGACAGCCTCTCGACCTGTATGACATCATGTTGGATTATCTGGGGCACCGTAGCCTCCTCTAAAACTGGTTTCTGGATAGTACTTGGAGAAAATCCAGAAACCTGCCAGAAAAAGCTACAGTACAAGCAGGGAATCTTTGTGCCCAAACCCACTCAAAGCCATTAGCAAACTACACAAATGTTTCAATTCAAGCTTAGTTCGGGAGCTACAGACTTAAATCACAACTGTTTGTGCAAGATCACAATGGAACAAAATTTGGTTCACTATTTCAGCCTACTTCCTGCTTAGAAAGCAAAGCTCTTAGATAGCACCTTATATGCTGGAGATGTCAACTGCACGGATTCTATTCTTATAGGCTAACCAATAGAGAAAGCCGATTGAGACTTCAAAATCATGCACGGAATACAAACATAGCTCAGAATACTTCTCCATACTCTCCAACACCCCAAAAAGTGAAAACGCAAAAAACCTTCCTAAACCAAAATTTTGGATGGCGACTAACAGGTTGGAGGCTTCTGCTGCAAGGATCCTAGTGTTATAGTATCAGGAAAGCCATCACTGTTGGTGACGCGTCCTTGTGCCATATTTTGGAGGCATGGAATTCCCATCACCCTCCCATCAAAACTTCAGGCATGCAATTTGTTAAACATTTACCAGGGGATCCCGATGCATGGATAAGCCTATGCTCCTGATAACCCTTTCATTCGGTAAGGTGTCCAAGGGTACAAATATAACAACTCCAATATCTCTCACATAGGCCAGGCCAACAACCCATTCCCCTTATCTAACGAACTCATAACCTTGCTTTCTGGCCACATTTGTGATTTTCGGAAAGCAGATATTGAAGGAAGAGTCTCATAACCACTACACTTTCCATAATTGAAAAGATATAAGTTTTCGTTACTGAAAATGCCCAGGGAATTTTTGTTAGGGGAGAGACTCGCAAAGAGATATTTGATTGTTTATCTCTTTCACCTAAACATTCTCAAATGGGAAAAACTACGCACCGAGTTGCACCCAAGGAACACACACAAATAGAGATGTATAGTAGGATAGGGGGAGAGAAAATGGAATTAGTAAACACACGCAGAAAAAACTAGGACCTCTAGCCAGGGATATCTTCAGGAAAGTCTTCAAGAAAAGAGATGATTTTGTGTAAGGAATCACCTATGAATCACCATGGGATTTCTGAGTTTTGGGTTCTGTACCTTGGACATGCATGTCATGGTTCTTGGCACATGCCCACACATCAAGAACATGGGATAAGAGCAAGGTTAACTTTTACAGTTCCATAGTACCATCCTGATCTCAAACATAGTACCTAGTGGCCCTTCCGAACAACTATTCTCAAACAACTTTCATCCCCAACATTACTTCATAAGTTGTATTTCCACACAGTATAAACCCTCTGGAGACCATCCTCATCTAGATGCTACATAGCTGTGCAAGAGAAAGCTGACTGAGCCACACAAAAATGAGGGTATCAGATATAACTACCAATGGACATGATTCCCCAGCAGCAATTTGTGATTCATACTATGGAGTATGGAATAGTTGCAGCAGAAAGTATATAGAGCACATCATTATGCCCTCCCATTGGTCAAAAGACTGATTTTTTTTTTTAAATATGTCCAAAAACTAAATCGGAAGATCATTACTTCAGAAAACCAAAAAGCAACTCAACAGGGATATTAATCTCATTATAAAACCTTTTTTTCTTTTTGAGCAGTTCATTATAAAACTTCAAACTATTTAGCAAAAGTTTACAAAGTGTTTATCCCAGAGAAAAGTATCAGCATTTGCTAGACATAAACAAAACATGGCATACCTCTACGGACTATCATCGTCAGAGCTATCTGGTCTTCGATGTAATATGCGAGGAAAAGGTAAATGCTTTGGATTGGGTCCCAACGTCACTCGGGTTTGGGCAACCTTCATTTTGGATGTTTGAGATACCCACCTTGGTGTTTTTCCAACCTCCTTACACACCTTATCCAACATAGCTAGAAAGTCACGTACAATCACAAACAAATGGAGCCCTTCATCCTTCACAGCATCCCCATGGAAATAATCAGTGGTCCCTTTCACAACAGCCATTATTCTCTTCTCTTCTTCTAGCAGCTGAGAAAGCTCAGGTTCTGCATGGGCCAGAAAAGACTCAACTGTTCGAGTGAACCCTCTGTGCTGGTCGACCTTCATATCCTTCTCAACAAGGTCCTTTATTTTTATCAAACCACGCCCAAGCCTGGACACAGTGTTTGTTAGAGAGTCAGCATCTATTGCTGCTGCTTTTCTAACATTCTCAAGCTCACTGCCCAAGCTGGCAACAACCTGCAAGCCGAGGCTCCTATAATGATCTCCCATTTCATTTGGACTCTCCTCAAAATTCTCCTCTGAATTACAGCTTGATATGCTGCTACCATGTCTAGCAACACGCGCAGCACGCACTCCTTCAGAGCGGATGATTTCTTGAACCACAAAATGGAGTAATGTGGTATTGCCATCTGTTCCCTTCACATCAGACAGTTTCAAGAGAGTGTCGAGCTTGAAAGCTTGCGCACCACCACGGAATGTCCCATCATTCATGCGGTTGCCAGTCTTAAGAACGGCTTCAAGGAGTTTCACAAACAAGCGACTGTTTCTCAGTTCCTTGCACGCAACCTATAACATGGAGAAAGCTATGGTAATCAACAATCTAAAAGATTAGACATAAATACGTGAATTTATGCATATGAGGCACATAAGCATGTACATGCCATTTGAGTACTAGTAACATGTGGGCCTCATCATTAGAAAAATAACCAACGTAGACAGTCAGCCTAAATCATACTATTTTCAGTTCTTTTAAAAGGTAAATAAACTGTCTGCATCAACAGCCAAGGAACATCTGCTGTGACAATTAGCCTCACAAATAAATAGTTTTACATCTGTATTTATTATGGAATCCACAGTAAGGATCAAGAAGAGGAGCATTGTACCCACCTCCAAAGTCACAAAGGACTCCTTCACACAGGAGACTTCCTCGTCAAGAGAACCCATATAGAGTAATGCCTCAAAGCGCTTGAAAGCGAATGGAATATCAACCAAGGCCTTGAGAAACCTTTCTGCAGTGCCAAGTTGCGAAAGCTCACCTGAATAAGCTCTCAACTTCCTTTCTTCATCCATGGTCGGAGCCATCTTCAACAAAGTCTCAAGGAGTTCAATACTTAGCTCGTTTCCTGGTCAAGGAAGAACATGTCCAAAAGAGAAGCACATCAATTATATTAACAATATCTCATCTTTACCTCAAGTTACTTAACTATAAAAAGCGCACTATATTTGGCCATGAACTGTAATGCATGACCACCAAAAATTAACGAGACAGCAGCGATGGATGGACCCAGAACATTTTGAACCCAAACATGCCTAATATCCAAATTTCAATAGTCATCTATTTATTTGCAGTTACTGTGCCACAAAAACGGTTTTACTTATAAAGAAAATTAGGAAGATCCAATTGATGTGCATATCAGTGTCTAAATCCAAACTCGAGATTAAGGACATTGAAACAGCAAGCAATGCCCACTCATGGCAGCATACAAGATAACTAGGTCGATCCACCTATATAGAATCCATATGAACAAAAAGCAGATCTCTGCATCATAGATTAAGCTTAATGGAACAGAATTCAAAACCAGGTATAATGGCCATGTGCAAGCATGCTATGAAGTGCCCCATAAATCCACTAAGGCTTTTACTGAGGCAGTGCTAGATGAGTGTAATATAAGCAATCTATGTAGATATTAAATTCCATATTTCAAACCAGTATAAACCATAATATATATGCATCAAATCAAACACCATAATCATACAGCAGAAGATGATAGACAGCAGAGACATAATCACACTGATATTCAAACATAGTGTTGCAATTGTCAAAAGATAACCAACATTGGCAACTCAATTTTCCAAGATCCAAATAGAGTAATATGAATGGGGCGACAGACTCAAGTATATCTCAGATTCTCCAGACTATTTAACCACAAAATCCCAAGTATGAAAGGAACAAGACATCTGGTATTGTTCTGTTCAGTTAACACGCACACACCATCCATTTCCTAAAAATGAGATAAGCTAAGGTAAGCAGTATCTGTGCACTTGTTGCCACTACGAAAAAGCCAAATTGTAATTTATAGCATTCGCCAAAAAAAAAAATGTAAGATGATGCATCACCTTCCAAAAGTGCATCACACACTTCTTCAGTTGTAACATTCAAAGCTCGTAGAAGAATTGACAAATTCTGAGACTTCTTGGGGTCAAGAATTTGAATATATGTACTAGGAGAATCACGAAGAGACTCTTTCTTTGGCTCGCCTTTCTGTGTGTTCGCAGTATTATATCCAAAAAGAGTCTCTATCATCTCTTCATTAAACCTAAAAATGAAAGTTTTACAAATTAACAAATGATAACTAGAAGGAAACAAATGTTGAGGTTCCAAGAATCTTACTGAAAAGACCCGGATCTTATCTGATGCCAAACCATAGAGTGATCAGGGTTCGCAAGAACCTTATCCCAATGGAATGGTTTCAACTTGGCTTTTGGGGCTTCAACTTCGAGCATTGTACCACTTTGTTCAGTTCTGCTAGACTGACCCAGCCCAGTTGGTGGGGTTTGGGCTGCCTTTGAATTGATTGAACTTGAAAATGGTGGTCGAGGTGGGGGGCTAGGACCTTTTGGCAAAGGGGGAGGAGCAGGTTTTGCAACCTTGGGAAAGGTGGGTGGTGGTGGTGGAGGAGGACCAGGAGGGCGAGGGCCTGGTTTGCTTCCTAAAGGCATCATTGGTGGAGGTGGCGGTGCTGGGCTAGGTGAACTAGGTGGCTTTGATGATGACATATTGGTGTGTGATGGTATAGAGATGGGCTTATCCGAGCCGAGCTGAGTTGCAGGAGCGACAGATGTCCCCGATGTTAACAACTGACCATTTTGTACAGGCATGAAGGATGAGTTCTGCACATCAATAACCCATCCATTCTTGTTCGAGTTTGAGGGAAAAGACATGCTTCTAAACTTTTCTTTACTCATTGACAGGCCATCAGATGGAAATGATTTTTCAGAAGAACCTAACATTTCAAAAGTTGTAAATATAATCAAAACTTTACCGATTCCCATGTAGAAAGTTTCATTTTAATGGATCTGATTATGTCTACTTACCAATTGAGAAATCACTCATGCTTAGGGTGAGTAGAGGTCGTTCATCTTTTGTTCCATCGCTAGAGGCATTGGCATCTCTACAACATTTGTAATAGAGACAGAAAAGGAAACCAGCACAAAGAAATGTCGATAATGCAGTTATGACAACAGCAAGTACAACCACACTTTTAGTGTTAGAACCACCCCCTGGAGGAGCACCACTAGGACTTACAGAAGCATGCCCGCTAACTGAAGATGGCACCCCAGCTAAGACTTGGGGGCCTGGAGGGGAAGAATGCAAAGGTTGTTTTGGACCTTCAGCAGGAGAAGGACCATTCATACTTTCAGAAGCTTGTGAAGAAGAAGGTGCAGGCGAAGGGGCAGGTGGTTCAAATGAATTAGAAAGGGTCACTCCTATGTTTTGTTTTAATGAGTCACCCAACTTGCGTCTCAAAGAACTTCTCCAACCAAGAAGAGAATCTAGATGCTCGAGATACCGACTTCCACGCCTGGAATCTTCACCAGAAATACCATGAAAAATATGTTTCTTATTGAGACAGTCCAGAATTTCACGCTTCATATCAGGTGGTAGATGAGCTATGTTATTCAGTAAACTGTGTAGGGCCTCAGAATCAGCACCCACATTGATTTCAGAGGATTGAATGGCCATCTTGGGAGAATAATCAAAATATGAGTTTTTCTCAAATACCCCATTAGGTTCAATATCTGATTGGCATATCATCCACAGTTGCTCCACCTATAAAAACAATTCCAAACAATTCTCAGTGGAATACAATGCAGTGAACATCCACAATAAGCTAGGTCATGCTTATGAGTTCAAAGTCCAGGAAATGCTCCGGCAAATAAAAGATTCTGATGAAGTTTGTAATTACACACAGGCTCAGGAACACTAATACAAGGTACAATTGCTGAAATTTACAACATCACCTTGCCTCAAAAAATTGAGAAATTGACGAAATTTATGCATGATAATCACATTCAATGAATCTATACAAAGATAAGCATAGAGAAAACATATGTTGATGAAAGGAAATTGTGAAGGGAAGGTTCTTACCATATCCGGTGTCCCAGAAAAGAAATCCTCTTTTAATTGCTGTCCACTTGAGCCTTCCAACAAAATCCACAACAGAAAGAAAAATGCCACAGTGTCAACAAGTTTGCCACTGTCCATTTGTTCACGTCTTATCCTTCAACAGCATAATTTTTTCCTCTTTCTTATAATGGTGACCAAACAGTTCGCAGCCTCCAATGAATTAATAAACAGAAGCTCCTCTTCCTTCATTTTAAAATTGTTCAACTAATCTTAAGAAAATGAAAAATAAAAGTATCATGAATCCATCAAAGGATCACGACTTAATAAACCAAACTTCAAACAAATGCAAATGCACAACGATTTTGAATTGTAAAAATATCAAATCCTCAGTTAAAATTATTACAAACCTAAAAGATGTAGAATGTCTCTAAACCTCAACAGAAATAGATTGGTTTCAGAGCTATTTGCCTTCAATGAGGAATCTTTTATGCTATAGAAGGCAATTGAACATTTTCAATCAAGAATTTCTATTTTTATCAAAATAAGCCCTGCCAATCTATATCAACACAAGCATTTCATCTCACCTTGAGCAAATCAGACCCTAAAATGCCCATATACCGCAAAAGCGACTCAAAATAGACCAAATTTCCATAACAGAACAAAATTGAAGGGGTTGAGATGAAGAACTGGAACCAGAAGAAGCCTGAAATTTAGTAAAGTAACGCTAATTGAACCAGAATTTCCCCTATAGAAGCTGATTTTCAAATTCTATGGTGAAACAGGTAATGTTAAGGCAAATGATCCAGATTCTATAAGAAGACTGGCATTGAAATGCGAGGAGATTAGCATCTAAAGACACCTAAAAGCCTGAAAATGGCAAATGGAGCTCATTATGAACCCCATACACAATTAATTTGAAAGGCAACTCATCAAAATTTCCCGCAAATGATTCTCTGGAAACTCCAAATAAAGCAAAACAAGTTCAAATTAAACCGACTGATGACAACCTGAGGTGATACATTGAAAAGGAAAAGGACAAACCCTAATCCAGATGTAAATGAACACTAAACCAACCATATTAATTAAGAAAACCCTAAAAGACACAATACATCATAGAGAGTCCGGAATAAACAAAATTCATGAAATAAATCCAATTCACAAATTATTCATGCAATATATCATATTTTCCATTAAAATATTCCTTATAATACATCAATCTGCATTAAACGACCATTCACATAACAAAACAAAGAGAAACTCACCAACTAAGAGCTGAACCATTGATTCCTGCCAACATAGATCGTATCCTTTTGTCAAAAGAAAATATAGATCGTGTCCTTTAATCAAATCGTCTCTAAACATCCCTCTCTGTGACAAAACAAGGGCATTTAACACGTCCTTCAAGCTCCAAAAGAGGAAAAAGACAAAAAGAAAGCCTAAGAAAGGCGTAGATCTGCCTAAATCAAAGAAAGAGGAATGAATAAAAATTCCAGGCAGTTCAGCGAGCTTGACCACGAAATACGAGTAAAACTTCGACGCTTTATGCAGGTATATATGTTTTCCGTGGAGAAGCCGCCATGGAAATGGATGTAATTCAAGGTCTCTGGCGTCAAGGCCGCTATCCAGCAGAGAGAGAAGAGGAGAGAAAGAGGAGAGTGGAAAGGCACAAAAAGCAGACGTGTGGAGCCCGCTTGGCCAATATAAATATTTTTGTCTTCGTTTGGGTCTCGGCAGATCTTTGGCATTTCAAAGTTTCAAATTTCTAGGATGAGCACATGTTATGCTCCCTCCGGACAATGGGATTATATACAACGAGCGATAATGAGGTCACAATTACTTACAATCATTTGATGTGAAGTTTGATAGTTTGGATGTGTCATAAAATTTAAAAAAAAAAATTTTAAAGTTTGAGTTTGGCCAATGGATTAATTGGAGCCACCCAATTTTACATTCAATAGTCAAGATTAATGTCTCACATTATACCAAAGATAAATGGTATTATACTATACTTTCTCTGTGAGCATAATTTACGTACTACTCCCTTAGTAAATTGATGTATTTAGAGAGGGTTGTTTTCAATCTCAAATACTAGACGGTTATTTTTAAAAAATAAATAAATTTTGAGTTTTTTAATACTTCGATCTCATAAATAAATTTTGAGGTTTTTGATACTTTGATCTCACCCTCCATAACTCAAACCGTTTTTATTTAATCTTGAGACATTATTTTTTTGAAGATAGAAATAGGAATTTTTTTAGGATTATATTAGTGTGCTCATACTATGGCTTAATTTATCATTATATTCAACAAATTTAGATATTTTTATACCATTGTTTTGTACATGAAGTTGTTTTTTACTAAGAGTATTTTTTATTATTAAGAGAGGTTTGATGTCATCTACATAGAATGTGACATCACCCACATGTATCATTAAATGTCACTAGTGTACTCCACTCGATGGGGGTGATTTCACACCCCATGTAAATCACATCACACCTCTTCTAATAAACAAAATACTTTTATTAAGAAAATGCTCTATCTATAAAACAAGGTATAAAAGTGTTCAAAATTTGTTGAGGACAATGACTCCATAGCACCTTAACATATTGAGATTAATCTATTTGTTAAAGAGATGGCTGCAGTTTGGATAGAGCTGACAATCAAAATAAAGCGCACCTTCAAATAGTATTGATAAACGTGGTTTCAATATTGAAAATCTTTGTGATAGCCTTAAAATATATTTTCATCTTTAATTATAAAATTTAAAGCTTAAAAAATAATGTAGATCAAAAAAATCTATAAAAACTTGAAAATCTAAAAAATTGATGGTCCAAAAATGAATTACAAGATGCATTATTTCTAAAATTTAAAATCATTTTTTTCGCATGTCCATGCATCTTAAATCTTAAAAATTGATGGTCCAAAAATAAATTACAAGATCCCTTATTTCTAAAATTTGAAATTATTTTTTTAGCATGTCCATGCATCTTGATGTCATGATGAACAATTTGAGTATATTTGAGCATAAAAAAAACCTCTTCTAGTGATATTTTTTAGATGAGTTCTAATCTGATTGTTTTAAGCCTCGGCTCTATATAAACTTGATCATATCGGTAGAATTTTATATCCTTAAATTTTGGAATCTAGGTCGGGTTTTATATGAGGGAGTAAATAGACAGCATACTCCTAAGGAGTACAATGTCTTTTGGAATTGAAAAGAGATGTCAGTTAAAAAGTGAGATATGATTGGGGTTAAAATCCTTGAAAGATACAGCCGCAATCCAAAGTAACCGAGCGAGATATCCTCGTGTTTTTTTGATGGGTTATGATAGTTAATATCACCAGGAAACCGTTGGGTTATTGAAGTTTCAAAATGAGCAGTTTTCTTGTTGCCAATTTGTCCACCTTGATTTTTATGTATTTATAATTTTATGATATGAAAGGCATCCCCAATCACTCCAAATGCATATTGGCTTTGGATCAACGGTTTTGTAATTGTTTGTGAAGAATCGAATGAATACTCTAAAAAATTTCTTAAAATACCTTTTTTTTAAGCTTTCTTTTGTTGGTGCATATTTGGTTGGTGCGTAACTATTTACACAAGATAAATATTTATCTATGTAAACACTTTGGGGAAAAAATTTTTGGCAAACTTTATTTTCTCCATGTTAACATGTTTAAAAAGCAATGTATAATGAATTCCATATATTCGGCAACTTGATTTAAATATATTTTATAAATATATATTTAATAATTTTAAATTATATATATCTAATAAATTTACTTATATTTTATAAATAAATTAAATATATAAAAGCATTATTTAATATAAAATATTATATAATATATTATATTGTAAATATCTCTTATAGAAATAAAATATACTCTATATTATACAATACATATAAATATTTTTGTATATATATTAGTATAATATAATATAAATATTTTTGTATATATATTAGTATAACATAATATAAATATTATATTTTATGTATGAAAGCCTTTTATGTTCCCCACAACATAGAAGTTCTATCATCCTCCTTATCCAACCGTTCATTTTTTAATGGAGGGCTAAGATTGACCCAATCACAATATCACGTTTCTACAATATTTTTATTTTGAATTTTTTCTATAAACTATTTTGACACCCACTTTTGGACATCCATTCCTCTATTAAACTTGCACTAACGAAAAATATAAAAAAAAATATTTTCAATAAAATAAAATAACCAAAATACCCTTAAAAGTTTCAAAAGGTATTTTGATTATTATTTTTTATCGAAAAATTATTGTTAATATTTTTTATAGGTGCGCCCTAATGAGAAGATGGCACGTTCCAAATTTTATATTCAGAAAAATTGTATTAAAAAAACTAAAAATAAAATATTTTGAGACGTCAAATCTAAGATCAAATGGTGAGTGGCCCTCTTGATAAAAAATGGACGGCTGGATGGAAGGGGAATTGTTGGGGAACATAGAAAGATTTCCCTAATGTAATAAGTATATATTATTTATAATGCAAATATATTTATTATTGAAAAATGCTGAGATTAGCCTACTAGCTCATATGAACATATGAGTTCAACGGCCCAAATTGAATTTGGACCGATCTGATGGTCACGACATCATTTCGTATTTGAATTTTAATTTTTTTTCTACATATCCAAATAACTTAAAAGTTCAAGCGTCCATTCTTCCCATCTAGGCGTACCTACTAAAAATATTTTAAAAATAATTCACAAAATATAAATTGATCAAAATACCCCCGAATATTTGTCTAAAATACCCCCGAATATTTGCCTAAAATTTCTTATATTTTTGAAGAATACACGCGCAAATTTTCAAATTATTTGGATTTGTTAATATATATATATATATATATATATATAAAAATGAGGTCGTGACTGTCAGATTGGCCTAGATTCAATCTGAGCCGTTGGGTTCATATGAACATATATGTTTATATGAGCTAGTATGTTAATCTCAGCATTTTCCTTTATTCTTTATATGCTTAAATTATATTATATTATATTAGGAAAAAATTTATATAAGGTTGTGACCTTAAAATGTAGAATTACAGATGCACCTCAAAAATCCATCGAAAAAGGTCCGTTAATGTTGAAAAACCTTCTATTTGATCATCTCGGCATTGAGATGTAAGAATATGATAAGAAAAAGATTTGAGTCCCAAAAATAGTGCATCTTGCAAAATATTATCTAGACCGTCCATTTTCAATATTGTTATATGTTTATAAATCTACTTGATTTTCACCATTTTTAGAGTTTAAAATTTTATAATTAGATATAAAAATNTATTTTCAGATATTACTAAAAACTTTTACACCAAAATTACATGAGTACTCATAGACTTGAAATGGAAGCTCGGAAAGCATCATATCAAGGTTAGAAAGA